TGTGTGTGTGTGTGTGTGTGTGTGTGTGTGTGTGTGTGTGTGTGTGTGTGTGTGTGTTTTCTCTTGAATCAGAACATCAAAGAGTTTCTGCAGCTCTGTCCGGTCCGAATGTCACCTGTAGAACCTCCTCTCTGAGCTCTGATTGGCTGCTGAACTCTGTTTTAAGTTTTGCAGAAAAGTTCCAGCAGAACCAGGTCCAGGTTCTGAGAAAAACTCAGAAATAAAGACTTTTTGTTTAATAGATTTATGAATTAAACAACAAACTGTTACAAAAAGAAAACACGTTTGGTTTGAAGTCATTTTGAAGTTCTTTTTTGACAAATTCTCAGCAGTGATTTTAAAAACATCAGTTTTCAGAGTTTCTGAGTGAATTTATTTGGAGTTAGAAACTGATCCTTGTTTGCTGTGAGCATTAAACACAGAAAATGATTGATGTTTGATGRATTTTAAAGCAGAACATTTTCCCTCAGGCAGAAAAACAGAAAACATTTAAAGAATTCATCAGATTTTCTGATGTAAAAAAGCTGAAAGGAGCGAATCATTGACCTGAGAGAAACAGCTTCAGACTCACTCTGCAGTTCTTTAAAGACCCAAACCGTCTCAGGTGGACTCCCCAGGTCAGGACTCAGGTTCTGTCTCAGCTGGTTCTGATAAAACAAAGCTTGACGCAGGTCTGGATTGGTGGAAATGTCCCTTTAAAGCAGCAGCTGGAACCAGCTGTTTGGGTTCATTAAGATGACCTCAGATCAGAGGAGAACTGAAGCAAAATATCAACAGATTGTTGTTGTTTATCTGCACAAGTAAACAAATCCAAACTAAAACATTAAAAAAGATAAAACGAGCTAAGTTTAGTTTAGAAACATAAATAACTTCTCATTTTATTTATTTGTTTCTTTATTTCTGACATTTCTTCTTGTTGCAACAAATGTTTAGTTATGATTTTAAAAATATTTTAATTCAGTTTTTCTTTGTTCTGAAACAAAAAAAGAACATTTGAATTTTATCTGTGGGGTCTCTGGTCCTCTTTAGGGTCTGGTGTCCCCTGTCAGGTCTGTGTGGTCTCAGGTCCCCTGTGGGGTCTGGGGTCTCCTCTGAGTTCTGATCTGAGCTGGCAGCAGCGACCCGTTTCATTGGGTTTAATAAAGCGGACCGGACCAACAGTCCCACCACGTGCTCCAGACCTGCAGAAGAGCCCCCCCACTCCTCCTCCTCTGGGCCTGCTGGACTCCATCATCCTTCATGTGTGTTCTGGGTYGGAGCCACGCTGTGGTTCTGGAAGGCCCAGCTCGGCCCGGCACAGTTCTGGCACTCGGTGCTGCTGCTGGATCCAGGTCCTGTCAGTCTTCAGGACTTCACTGCAGGAAACGGTTTTAATTAACTCCAAAAGGAACAGAACCAGAACCTGCAGAGGCTCTGACACCCCGCAGACCCGTTCGGACTTTAATCAGAACTTTTTTGTTTCTCAAATGAAACAAAAAATCAGATAATTCTGCAAAACATTAAAAAAAAAACTGATGAACAATTCTTCTTTCTCTCTTTCTTTCTTTGGACAACTTTTATTCTGACAGTTTGAAGTAAAACTGATTTTACACAAAAATAAAATCTAATCCAGATTATACCGAATGTAAACAGAACATCAGTTGAGGATTAAAACTATGAGGTGCCGTTTGTAAAGTTACACAGTCAAAAAATTACCACCAATAGTTTTGTTTT